TGCAGGGGTGGGGACAGTGGCAATGTATAGCCTGCATAAATAAATTGTAAACTACCCAGAGAGAGCTGGTGGTATACAAACAACACACCCTGACTTATGGGGCTTATTGCAATTAAAATAAAATAAAATAAAATTCATATATAATAAAATAAATTCTCACCTTATTGGCCAAAATTCAAGTGGGAGTGTTCTGAGTTCCATAAACCTGACAGGGCTTCTGCCCGTTGATAGCAGCCATCCATGATACCTGAAAACCTTTGGGCATATTCAGATATACGTGTCATGTAAGAGGAACAACTGATATGGATTGCTGTTGATGATTCAGGTATTAGAAGTTTCTCTGTGCACAGATAAACCTTTTTCATGAAGCACTTAGTTGTGTGTGCAGCATTTATTTGTGCATGTGGCATTCTTTCCAGTGGGAGATGCATGTGGGGTAGCCAGCCTTCATATTCATAGTGCATTCAGCTCGATCTGGGCATCTATGTATTGCTGTAAGCCAAACTGCAAAGAAATAGTGTGTGTTAGTCACATCCCTAACTTTGTGCTTGTTTTATTTATTTTTAACTAAAATTTATAATTTCTGCCAGTAACTTGGATAGTGCTTTCTAGATTTGTGTGTATGCACAACTCTGGCTTCCTAGAAAAAATAGTTGAATTAATAAAGTATTATAATGAACAGTGTTACATTCCAGTATGAATGTAGGTGAGAAATTGAAAGAAGTATCTTTAAAGGGAAAAATATGTTCTGTGAGTAACAAGATTTTCTGTGTGGTTCAGGACTTTCTCGAGCCTGGCCTTCAGGAAGTAGTGGGTGACCCCATGGTGGCCCACTGTGACTTGTTTGCAAAACCATTTGAGCATAAAAGTTCAGTGTTTGTGCTCCCAATCTTGATACTGTACTACTGTTTTTTTTAGCTATGTCTGGGAGATAACATCATCTGTTTTTGTTGAATGGGTTTCTTTTTACTGTGACCAGAAAATGCTGATGAGGTGTGGTGCAGCTGACCATCTGTCTTCTTAATCTTTGTCTCTGACAGTTTATAATAGCTAATAAGAAAGGATTATTAGGAGACAAAATTCTTAAATGAGGAGGGATTATTGGAGAGGCTTTCCATAAGAGCATCCCCAGTTTTTAAGATCTTGAGGTCAGAACTTTCTCTCTTCAACAAAACCATTTAGCACGACGTCCTGCTGCCCTGACAGGCATATTTCATGAGGATACAAGAGAGGGCTCTTCTGATGGCTCTTCTCAGGTTGTGGAATGTCCTACTTCAGGAGGCCAGGTTGAAAGCCTGCCTGAAAAGGAAAATCTGTGCCTAACAATGGAAGGACAAGATGGAGAGCGGGGCTACCTGGCTTCTTGGGCACCACAACTTATTGTGTCTTTCTTTGGCTGTAGCTTTTCCAACAAGTTGTATTCTCCTTTCATCAGGAGAAAGGAAAGTAAACAAACAAATAGAATTGCTAGTTTCCAGAGGTGACAATTGCTTCTTTGTCATAGAGCTTTCTTAAAGATGAAGTCACTCCAAAACACATTTTGAGCCTAGACAATTATTGTAACTGTTAACTGATTCTGCATAGTCCCCTTCCTGAGTGATCCCTATGCAATCATAATCACTCTTGAATGAAGCTTATGTCTTTGCTCAATTTCTTTCTGATGTCAGCTGTGATTTTTGCATACAAACTTATTTCCTTGATGGCTTCCAATAGACAACATTAGAATGGTGTAACTGATCATTCTTCTGGACCTGTCAGCAGCTTTCAACACTACTAGACATGACATTGTATTCTAAAATAGGCCATTTGAGTTACACTGTTTTGAAGTGATATTCCTTATTGAACAGTTGATTTGTGAAGGTGGTATTGTGAGACTCCTGCTTGACTCTGTTGCGCTTGGGCTATCAATTCCCATATCAAATTGTAAAACATGAACAAGAACTTTCACAGATTTAGGGTGAGATGTCATCAGTATGTTGTTGACAGGACCCAGCTCTACGTCTGTCGTTTACTTAATTCAACCAGTGAGAGGAGCAGAACCAGTAGTTGAAATAATGGAACGGTTGAGGGCCAGTAAACGTCAGAGAAGATGGAGTTTCTTTTTATGGTGATTTATATGTTTTGTGAGGTAGGATCTTGAAGAGAACCATGCTCATCCTAAAATGTATATTTATAGCTTGTGGTGCTGCCAAATGTAGCATTATCATAAGGCTCAGCTACCTTTTACAGCACATAGTGCTTTCATCAACTTTGGCTGGTTACCAGTTATGGCCTCCGATCTTGGAAAAAAAGTATCTTGGCTACTGTTTTCCCCATTCTGCTACTCTAGAACAGAGCCTGTGTCTTTGAAAACTTCTTAGAACTATAGTATAAAACTGAACAGCAAGTTAATGAAGATCAGAAATATGGAATGGAGGTTGTCATTTTAAAAACAACTACTGGAAGTAGTACATTTTCAAGCATAATGTAAAGTGCTTTTGGACCTGTGGGTACCTGTTGTGTAAGCCTGTTTGAACAACACAGTTATCTTTCCACTGGATTTTCTTCACCACCAGGAGTTAAATAGGGAGAAGAGGTTTTTGTTGTTTTTTTAACATGGCACCCGGGCAAAGATATTTTTATTTAAATATGTATTCCAGCACATAATGCATTCTGGTTTCAATTAGGGGTTGCGATAATTGTTTTTGTGGCTGCACTGATTCATTTATTGCTGTTGTTCTATTTTTGTTTCAACTGATTGCTTTATTTATTATTTTACCATCTTCTATATACCATTCTCTTAGTTTTCCTGAAAAATGGCCCATAGTTCTAAAATGTAACAGCATTTTATTGGGAAGAACTCAATATGGGGATGCCATTTGTTATGTTGTCCTGTGTCTTGTGTAATATGTAGTACTGTGAATAAAAGTAATCATTGGCACATGTACAGTGCAGCACAGGAAATTATTTTAGCATTGGAGAACACCCTCAGTGCCAACCTGTAGCATGCCATTTCTCTTGCTGGAAAAGCTATAGTTTATAAATCACAGCTGATTTATCATACAATATATCTTGTTTAATATTTCAGTGTGTAAACATTTCTTTTATATCAACAATCTAGAAGAACTATTTCAAATTTTATTTCATCTAAATTGTCTGCATGATACGTGGACAAGTGAAATCTCATTTAAAATCATGATTTGCATACATAATAATAAGCCAGAAGGATACTGAATACTTTATTAAGATTAGTTGATATTATAACTATTCGAACTTCTTTCTGTCGTAGTTGTTATATACATGTCTAAACTTCAGGTGCGTAGCAGGTTCTTTTCCCAAGGTTTGCGGAATGCCATTTAATTGTATCATGACACATGATAGAAGTATCTTGTCAGGGGAATTGTGTTATCAGCCTAAGGCCTTGGTGAAGACTGGGTACAATGGCTGTTGCACAAGTGCAATTGGACAATGCCAGATTTTGATACTGATATCATGAGCCAATACAACATATTGTGCTGATACAGAATAACGTGATGGCACTGCTATATCATCATCAGTCAGTGCGTCCACGTAATTCTTCGTGTTTGATTGTTGCTTGATACATGAATGGACAGCAGAGGCAGGAGAGGTCCTGGCTGCATGGCATGAACTGTTGTACTTGGTTTGCACTAGAATGGGATTATTATCAGGGGATGTTGCACAGACAGTTCATACATCAAATGCCCATAAAATCTAATCCACACTTTCTCCAAAATACATTTTACTGAGACTTACTCCCAGGCGTTATGTGTAAGACATCAGTCTTATATTTCGAACCAAATAGCATACTTGTGTTACAGAGGAACATGTTAAATAATTTCAGAAAGAGTATATTATAGTTTCTTTAAAATAATATTGAAGGCAAGTGGCAGTGGGAAGCAGGAATTTTGGTCTACAGTTTTGCTTAATCTTTAGCATGAAGGTGATACTCCCAAAGCGTAGGGATGTATCCTTTCAAATAGAGACCTTTTTTCAGACAGTCAAAAGCAAGCACCCATCCTTGACCTTGTAACTCAAGACTTGCTTAATTTTGAAGGATAACCGGGGAGTTTGTGATATTTTTAGATGGGAAGCTCAGGGTAAGCAGAATAAAGTTACGTAAGGCTTCTTTTTGTTTATGATCAGTTGAGAAAGGTGTTTTATTTTTGTTTTGTTTTGTTATTTGGACAGAAGGTCACTGAGAGACTGAAATAGTGGACAAAGGAGAAAACAGTATCGTTATGCAGATAATATAGTTTAATTTAAAACCACCCTATAGTTTAAGGTGGGAGAAAATGCCATCATTGTCCAGTGCCTGGAAACATGTTGTTTCGTTGTTCTGTAAGTGAGGGAACCAAGGGTTTGACAAGGAGGAATAAAGTCTCCTTATATATGTCACCCACAGACTAAGCTATACAGCCCCCTGAGAACTGACCACCCACTCTTTCGGACGTGTTAGGTCTTCACGTAGACGAATTTGGGTTGCGTCGGGCCAGGACCTCGCCGCCTTCATTCGGCTCCTCGTTGCTTCCTTCACTTTGGGAAGCGATCGGGGTGGTGGTGGTGGGGAAGGGAGTGAAAATCCGTTTGCAGTGCAGACGCTTCCATCTGGTCGGGAAAGAGTTCAAGCGGAGGCCGCTCTCTGAGCGAGACTGGCTGGAAACTGGTCGCTCCGGATCCTTCGTGGAGCGGAATCCAGTCCGTACCTTCGCGGCGGCTCGGAGATGCTTCCTTCACTTTGGGAAGCGATCGGGGTGGTGGTGGTGGGGAAGGGAGTGAAAATCCGTTTGCAGTGCAGACGCTTCCATCTGGTCGGGAAAGAGTTCAAGCGGAGGCCGCTCTCTGAGCGAGACTGGCTGGAAACTGGTCGCTCCGGATCCTTCGTGGAGCGGAATCCAGTCCGTACCTTCGCGGCGGCTCGGAGAGTCGGATCCACTTTCCCCACC